GAGACACACTATAGGTGCCCAAGGTTAAAGCGTGACGGTATATTGACTTAATATGAGCGCAGATTATATGTATTATATATATATATATATGCATATATTTATATAAATACAAACAATCTAAACACTCATCATCGATATATATTTCTCAATTTTTATTTTTTTTCTCTCCAGTACATTTTTATTTATTTCATAGCTGATTGAAAATTATTTTTCAAGTGGATTGGTTGCATAGTTTTATGACAATTCTTTTTTTTTTTCGGTGTGTTATAATACATCGTAGATTCTCTGTTCTTCTTCCAACTTGTGGGCGATATAACTTGAAATCAAATGTACTCAGATACAATTGCATGTCACAAAAGTTAGAGAACAGAAAAAAAAACTGACCGCTGATTGTTCAACAGACTTTACAGGACTGAGAGAGTAACTAAATAATCTTCAACGCTTTTTAGACTTCTCTTACGTTCTATAACGATGTTCTATGGGAGAAATGAATTTAATATGGGCTTCCATCAAAGGAAGCATATGCCTATTCGAGAGATGAAGAAAAAAATCTACGAAATGTTAGTTCAGCATAAATCGCTTATTATATTTGACGACATGACGATGAAATCAAATCAATTAGAAGTTTTACTTCTATTCTTATTTTTATTTTTTATTATTTTTATTTTGACAATGACTTTCTTATTTGTAGTTTATTGTTGAACTGACATCGATCGATTATTCAACTTTGTTCTGTACAGAAAAAAAAAGGTAGAATAAAATTCAAATTAAACAAAACAATCATACGAATGTGGGAGAGAATGTCATGCATAATTTTTTCTTCGCCAAAGGGAAGCATGATGTTATTCATGGGTCGCCGAAAAATGGTGGGAAAAAACAACGTATTACCAAACTTTACTTTCGCATCAGTGTACATCTATAAGGACGGTGTTAAGAGACACTTTCTCTTACTGGTTCCTTTCCTCTCTCTCTCTTTTTCTCTTCCGAGCTTTTGTTTTAGGGATCATATACTGAAGAGAAGAAAGAGAACGACAACGAATAGAATCCTTTACTTTAATGGCACAAGTAGCTTTCAAGAGCCTTTTGTTGCTTCGGGCTTGATAAACAGAGCAGTCGATGCTGACAGAAGTGTGCCGGTGCGATAGCATTCACAAATTCACGTATAAACATGAAAGTATGCTCTTGTGTATAAATCAAATCGCAAAAGAGAAACAGTCGTCATCGAAAGAAGAAATTTTTTTTTCTCTTCCCTCTCTCATTCGCCTTCTTACTTTCATCTTTAATTCAGGCAGCAATTTCATAGACTCAGTTTTCGTTTCATTCGATCTTTTTTTCTCTGCTTCTTTTTTTTCTCTTGTCTGTATTTTTTTCGTTTGTTTTTTCATTGTTCTTTTATTCGTTTCGAAATTTTGTGTGTCATATATACAAAGTAATCATTCAGTTTCATTTTTTTTTCATTCTTTATCATGAAATCAGTTTCTCATACATTATGATCAATTATTTTAGATTGTTGTCAGATCATGAAATTACACCAAACAATAGATTCGATACGACTGCTGGCAGCCGCTTGTCTTGTATCTTCTATTACGATAACATTTTTAACAGATACTGTCAAAGGTAAAAAAAGAAAAAGAAAAGTATAATCTTCTATAAGTATATAGGTATATGATAAGGCGTCACAGAATTTTTAAAATTACATGTATAAATGTATAAATGTATATATGTATATGTATATTTATATGTATATAATTATATATTCACAAAATTAAGTTTGTTCTCACAGCAGTTTTATTAAATATACATATTTCTATTGTATTTCAATACACAGACACACGATAACGTTCAATTAAAATTATATAAAATAGTATTACGATTATTTCAAAAAAAAACGTTTTCAGTGGTAATAGCAGCTCTGATGTTTAAGCATTGATGTAGACTTTTTGAGCAAAAAGGAATTAACTTCATATTTAAATCTAAGACAAACTAAATATCATATTACTTAGGTTCCAATGTAAAGAGTGAAGATTGGTCAAATGCATACACTCAACATTACGCAGACTTAACAGGAACAATAAAGGAATTAACATTCAATGATAATAATGAAGTTGCGGATACACGTTTTCCACCTCTACTTGATACTAATAATAAGAAAGGACAACCAATAGCTGAAGGTTTGCTGATAGCAAATACTGATATGACTGCTCCTACTATATCTGTATCACTCACTAAAGACACATTACATGAACGTCATAAACGTGATGCAGCATCGGACAACTCATCAACACCTGCTGTTTCATTGCAATCAGTAAATACTGAACAAGTATTGCCTGAATTATCAAATAATGGCACCGATGATGAACTCAATATGAGTGATGCAGGTTCAAACTCATGGGCTCGTGTTTTATCTTTATCACCTGTTTTGGATGGTAGTGGGACCGAACCTGACAGTAAGTTATTACATTACTTATTCGTTTTAATAAAATAAAATTATTGTTCTTGTTTTACAATAAAACAAAAATTAAGAATTTTTTCAAGGTTACTGAGTTATAATTTTATGAAAGGTTTTATCCGGCATTTGTACACGTTTTTATTTCTTTTTCATGAAGCGAACAATAATATGGACACTTGTCAATAACAATAATCTTGCTAAAAGATTCTCAAGGAAAAAATATGTTTTTTTTTTCTTTGTCTCTTTTTAGCCACTTCAGGAACAGAAGCCACAGATTCTACACAAATTGCAACAGCAACTATTCAACTTACTACAATTGACTCTAATACTTATTCTGTAACAGATACTTACAGTACTGATGGAGGATTCACTAGTGTTAGTACTGAACAAATATCATCTACCTCAGCATTATTAGAAACTGCTACAGCAACGTCATTCCAAAGTATGCAAACAGAAGAAAGTAAGTTCTTGTGTTAAATACGTATTTCTGAAACAGGTTTCTATAATTTGATACTTCAGTACAGATAACATCGAATGAATCTTTATTTTAGTGACTGCCACAGCTATAGTAACACAAATTACATCACCAATCACGGCACAAACGGTAACTGACACTACTGTTACAGGTAAAAACAAACATATCTTCTATAATCTATATAGTGATAGGCATTTAAGTAATCTTGCGCATTTGGAATTTCGAAAAAAAAAACCTAACATTCCTAATAAGAAAAACAAACAATTATACCAAAGAAGTATACCGAAGAAGCTTTTGATAATACCGTGTCTCATAACTCTATACTTCTTATTCATAATAATTTCCTTTAACTTTTTATAGAAGCAAGTGCTGCAACAGAAACTTCAACGATATTTGATGTGTCCACTGAATCATCTACAGAATCACAAATTGTAACCGCAACCGAAGGACCTACTAATCAAATCTCTTATACAGAAACGAGTCTCGGAACAGAAACAGAAACTTCACCGACATATGAAATGCAAACTGAATCCACTACTGAAACACAAATAGGTATCGTCACCGACGAAACTATCAATGTAGTCTCTAATACAGAAAGAACTGCTGGCACTGAAACAGAGATTATAACAACATCTGAGATGCCGACTGAATTGACTACAGAATCGCTAACCATTAGCGTCACCGAAGGACCTACGGGTGAAGTATCTTCAACAGAAACGATTTCAACCACTGAAACGGAAACTGCAACAACATCTGAAATGCCGACTGAATCGACTGCTGAATCGACTACCGAGTCCATGATCAACACCGTCACGGAAGCAACTACTGGTGGAGTTTCTTCAACAGAGGCAATTTCAGCTACTGAAACAGAAACTGCAGCAACATCTGAGATGCTGACTGAATCGACTACGGAATCGCTAACAGTTACCGTTACGGAAGGACTTACAGGTGGAGTATCTTCAACAGAAACCATTTCAGGTACTGAAACGGAAACTGCAACAGCATCTGAAATAGTAACCGAATCAACAACTGAACCATTCACCGTCACTGCAACTGAAGAATCTACCGGTCAAACTTCCTTCATAGAAACTATTTCTCCAACAGAAACTGAAGTCGTAACAACATCTGAATTGCTAACTGAATTGACCACTGAATCACAAACAATCACAGCAACCGAAGGATCTACTCTCGAAGTCTCTTCAACAGAAACTATTTCTGCAACTGAAACCGAAATTGCAGCAACATCTGAAATGCTGAGCGAATCGACTACTCAACCACAAACCGTAACCGAAACCGAAGCAACACCGATCGAATCGTCTTCCACAGAAACTATTTCTGCAACTGATAGGGAAACTTCAATGACATCTGCAATGTTCACGGAATCGAATACTGGATCAGAATCCGCCACCGCAACCGAAGCATCTACCACTCAAGTCTATTCAACCGAAACCATCTCTGAAACTGAAACAGAAACTGTAATGACATCTGAAATGCCTACCGAATCGACTGGAGAATCACAAACCGTTACCGCCACTGAAGCATCTACTGGTGAAGGTTCTTCCACCGAAACGATTTCTGCTACTGAAACCGAAACTGCAACAACATCTGAAATGGTGAGCGAATCGACTGGAGGATTCGAAACCGTCACTGCTTCCGAAAGATCTACGACTCAACTCTATTCAACGGAAACAATCTCTGCAACCGAAACCGAAACTGTTGCGACATCTGAAATACTTACCGAATCAACTGGTGAATCATCAATCTTTACCGCTACTGAAGCCTCAACCAGTCAAGCTTCTTCCACAGAAACTATTTCTGCAACTGAAACTGAAAGTGCAGCAACATCTGAAATGCTGAGCGAATCGACTACTCAACCACAAACCGTAACCGAAACCGAAGCAACA